CTTGCTATCAGATGAATAATTTGTTTTAAAAATGAAAAATATATTTAGATCTTTTTAAATTGCATTATTTGGGTTGTCTTTTTCCTATTGAGTTGAATTCCTAATGTATTCTGTTTATTAACCTCCTTTCAGGCATATAACTTAACAAATATTTTCTTCCATGCTGTAGGTTATCTCTTCATTGTTGATTGTTTCCTTTGCTATACAGCAATTCTTTAGCTTGCTGAAATCCCATCTGTTTCTGCATTTGTTTCCTGTGCTGCTAGAGTCTGATCCAAAATACCCTCTCCCATACCAATAGCTCTAAGTATTTCCTCTGTATTTGCATGAAGTAGTTTCATAGTTTCTTGCATTTAGTCTTCAGTCCATCTTGAGTTGATTTTTGTATGTGATAAAAGATAGAGATCTAGTTTTATTCTTCTCCACATGGATATCCAACTTCCACAGTATCATTTATTGAAAAGACTTTGTCCTGACACATATTTTTTCTCAATTTATTTTTTTTAAATCATCTTGAGCAGCACTGACTAGCCGAACAAAGTACTCCTTTTTTTTTTTTTTTTTTTTTTTTAAGATTTATTTATTTGAAAGAGTTACAGAGAGAGGTAGAGACAGAGAGAGGTAGAGACAGAGAGATCTTCCATCCACTGGTTTACTCCCCAGATGGCCACAACGGCCAGAGCTGCACCAGGAGCCAGGAGCTTCTTCCGGATCTCCCACATAGGTGCAGGGGCCCAAGGGCTTGGGCTATCTTCTACTGCTTTCCCAGGGCATAGCAGAGAGCTGGATCAGAAGAGGAGCAGCTGGGACTCGAACCGGCATCCATATGGGATGTTGGTGCTTCAGGCCACAGCGCTGGCCACAATTTATTTTATTTTTTATATAGTTTCATTGAGCTTATACTGAAACATTGATTATATTTTTGTGGAAAGATTTCCCCCAGTGTAGTCTTATCTTCTTTAGAGCCTAATTTAAATTAAGAGAGCTATTTCCTACTGTGTTTTACAACTTGTCTATCTCAAGGCAGGAATTAAAAATAGTGTAGTAGAATAAGTTTTAAACTTATTGAACTTCTTTAAGAGTAAAATCATTACTTTATCAGAATTCAGCACAAAGCACTCAAAAATGAATAGCTTAATCTCAGGGATATAGTATTGGAGAATTAATATTTGCCAGTGTAACGTGCAAACATAATAAAACTGAAGAGGTTTGTTTTCCTTATATACTTAATATGTATCTGATGTCCCCAAGCAAAAATGCTGTCATAGTGGGTAAGGAAGCATCAACAGGTAACACTGTTTGCTTTACACATTATATAAAACTTGCTTTGTGACTTAAACTATAAAATCTACTAGAGCACAAAAAAATTAGTACCCTAATTATTTGTTCATTTGCAATTGTAACTGTTTCTACTAATCCAAGCATTTAGAAAAAAATCAGAAAATATAGGAATGATTTGATGATGAACAATAAATTGAAGTTTAAAACAGCTGATTGCTAATCCTGGTTTAGGTGAAAATATCTTCCTTGAGAATTAACTGACAAAATTTTGTAAATGTAGTTTCTGCATGCTATATTTTTCCACTGTATGAAAGGAATAAAGTTGATTTTTAAGAAATTATATTGGATGCCATTAATGTATGGAAAAGTGGTTAACATACATTTGAGTGTATCATAATTGTTTTTTAATTGGGACCTCCAAATGGTATAATGTTCAGCTTCAGCTTTCATCATACTATAGTCATCCTTCTTTGTTTTTAATTTCCTTCATTTTAGGTAAGGGCAAGCCTTTAATGGGTTTATAAAACATAGTTATTTCTCAAATCTGAATTTTTTTCAGGAGTTAAAATTTGACTTTTCTTCCGCTAACAACGTTCTATTCACATTACTACTTAGTATTCATTATTATGTTAATAGTTATATTAAGTTAGTGTGGAGAGCTTCTTTTCATATAAATAAAAGTAGCACTTTAGAGGAATAAAGCCCCAATTTAATTATATGAGTTTTTTAGTGTGTTTTTTTAAATCCCGAAGTTTCTGCCTTTGAATAAAAAAGGACTTCCAAATGAGAATGTCTGGCTGCAAGCAGTGATTCCTAAGGAAAGAGAACATGCTGCAGCATTTGTCTCACTTAGGTGATTCTTACTTAGTTTACCTTTTAGCATCAGTTTAGTTAGTCTGTTGAGCAAAAACCTACTGTTTCATCATTTTGCCACTTTGGCCTTATTAATAGAGTATAGTGCAGGCTTTGTTTCACATCCCTGGCTACACATGATAATCATTTGGGGAGCTTTAAAAGTAATGGTAGTACTGGTAGTAGTAGGAGGAATAGTGGTAGTGGTAGTAATGAACATACTAATGCCTGAATCTCACCCCTAAAATCCCAATTTAATTGACCTGAGTTGGGTTGTAGGAAATTAGTAGCTTTCAGACCCTTCCCAGGTAATTCCAGGGTTCTGTCATGGTTGAGAATGCTGCTCTATGATAATGTGAATTTGAGAGCTTGAGAAATTTTGGAGTGGTCATCCTGATTACAGGAGAACAATGAATTACAGCCCTGAATGGTCTCTAACAGAAAACTAATAACTATGCAGGAAAATAAGTTTCAAATACACAGTATGAACTCAACCAGTAGTATGAAAGAAAATATTATAATAGCGGATCCTGTTACTTAGCATCTAAAAAAGGTTTTGCTCCTTTTTGAATGGCTTATAACAACCCTGGAAGCTAAGTAGTAAACCTTTTGTTCAAACAGTAAACTGAAGCTCAGAGAATGACTTGCCCAAGGGGCTTGCTGCTTGGAAGCATCAGAGGCAGAATTGGAGCACATACACATGTGATTTGGTAACCCGAGCTCTTTTCAGTGTACTATGCTGTATGAAAGTTTGATACTTAGTTTGACCCAACCTAGTTTATGCCAAGGTTTCCTTATTGCCATGTTTCATTACAGTCATGATCTTTTTTTTTTTTAAGATTTATTTATTTATTTATTTGAGAGAGAGTTAAAGAGGGGAGGGTGGGAGGGAGAGAAAGAGAGAGAGAGTGGTCTTCCATATGCTGGTTCACCATAAAACATCAACTGAGGGGCCATTGTTATGGTGTAGTGGGTAAAGCTGCCACCTATGATGCCAGCATCCCGTATGGGAGCCAGTTCGAGTGCCAGCTGCTTCACTTCCAATCCAGCTCCCTGCTAATGCACCTGGGAAAGCAGCTGAAGATGGCCCAAGTTGCTTGGGCCCCTGCCCGCCCTCTCTCTCTCTGTGTCTCTCTCTCCCTGCCTCTACTTCTCTGTAACTGCCTTTCAAATAAATAAATAAATCTTTTTTTAAAAAAGAACTTAAATAAAATCCACCTTAAACTCTTGGATCTCCATAAAAAAATCTAAAAGCTAAGAAGAAATGAAATAGATATGGTATGTTCCTTATATTGTTGGCCTTAGGGTCACAGCATTCCCTACAGGTTTTTTAGGAAGTATATTCCCAAACATATTTATATTCTAAGTATATTCCTGTCTATAAAAAGAACAGGCAGACTCTACAGCTACAAAAAGGTGATGTTTACCACTGAATCCATTTCAACTGAATTCCTTACACTAAAATATTTGCATTGGAGATTTTCATAGTAAGTCTGTACCATAAAGAGAATGTATAGGTTCTATAGCTAGAAAAATGTTTCCCATTGAATCAATTCCAACTGAATTTCATTGAAAGAAAATATTTGCATTAGAGCTCTTTTTCTTTTACTGATTTTCCTCTAATGTCTTTACATAGTACTTTTTTTTCCCTTTATCAATAGTTTTTCTTGTATTTCTGTATAGGGTCATGTTATATGTTATACCAGTATTTATTCATTTGTTGATAAAAATTTAATGTACTTTCACTGTGAAGTTATTATGAACAACACACTTATGAGCATTCAAAAGTATGAGAGATGTATAGAGAGATGATAGGAGTATAGCAATGAAATCGCTGGTTCTTTCAATGTCTCTCAGCTGTAATTTTCAGTGTGAAGATCCTGGGACAAAATCTATTTTTTTTTCTATTTTTACATAGTACTTCATATAGTAATACTCTTAAAAACTACTGGGTTTTGTTTAAATTTAAAACAGTTATCACTTAATATTGAAAAAAAAAAAAACAAAGAATTCTCATTGAGTATCTGTCTTAGATGGATATATTCCTGTGTCCAATTTTTTAGTGAATTGTAAATTATACACAGCAAGAGATTAACAATAACTAATAATAAAACAGAATGATTAAAATAATATACAGTAATAAAATTATCAGCATCACTACTCTTGTGCTTCAGAGTCATTATTAAGTAAAATAATAGTTACTTGAACACAAACACTGCAATACCACAGTAGTTGCTCTGAGAACCAGGGGGCTGCTAAGTGACAAGGTGGGTTATGGTATTGACACATGATACCCAAGAGGATGAGATAATTTGTGTTCCAGTGGGACTGAATGAGGCCACTGGAGATTTCATCTCACTACTCAAAAACAGTGTAAAATTTAAAACTTAGAAATTGTTGATTTCTAGAGGTTTCCATTTAATATTTTTGTACTTCAGCTGGCATCCCATATGGGTGCCAGTTTGATTCCTGGCTGCTCCACTTCCCATCCAACTCTGTGCTTTGGCCTGGGAAAGCAGCAGAAGATGGCCCAAGTCCTTGGGCCCCTGCACCCATGTGGGAGGCCCGGAAGAAGCTCCTGGCTTCAGATTGGCACAGCTCTGGCCTTTGCGGCCATCTGGGGAGTGAACCAGCAGATGGAAGACCACAGAAAGCCAAAGCAGTGCTAAGAGGGTTGGCTGTGTTTGGGCTGCCATGTCCTCTTCTGTTGGACCGCGGCTGCACAGTCTTATCTAGTGCTGACATTTCTTTGACCTGTATTATCTGCTTAATTGTAAGGTTTATGTTGTGAATTTTTTATTTATTTTATAAATATATTTTAAAATTCACACCAGTTTTCTAAATTCATTTTTTTTTACCTTTTATAGCTTTATGCAGGAGCCATTCTTGAAGTCTGTGGATGAAAATTGGGGAGGTTCCCTCAAGTCCAAGGTATGTAGTACTCTCTTATCATTTAAAATCAACATTACATGAGAATAGGTTGATAAAATATTCCCAGGAGTAAGAATTTTTAGGATGTTCTTCCTCAATAGTGCATTTTTTTTTCACTTTTTCAATGGATAATTTTATAGTCATTGATAAATAACTCAGTTACTTTCCTATATAAGCAAACACAGTCAGGCCAATCCATGTTAAAACCATAAACCTCCAGACATGGAAAATAATTTGGAAATAATGGGATAGTGAGATAGCAAGAGGTTTTCTTTTTTAATTTTGTTCATTTCTTTGGTACAAAGCCTTTAAACCCAGCTTGTCTAAGACCTGAATCAATCCTCTGGTAAATTATACCTTCTTTTTCCTTGTTTCCACAAATGGCAATATTGTCAGGCAAAAGCATGAAGCATGAAACACAAGAATCATGATTAATCTTCCACACTTTATACCCAATTACTCACCAAGTTGTGAATGTTCTCCTTGTTAATAAGTTTCAAATCTTATTTCCTTCCTTTTCTCTGTGCTTTTAATCAAGGCTTTGATGTCTTTATTCAGAAGATTAGTTCTTGTTAGCTGGCCTACCTGTCTCTGTTCACATTTTTACTCTGATGCTGCTTCCACACAGTCACCAAAAAGACCTTTTCTATAAGACATATCTGAGTATGTTGCACTTTGCTTAAAATCCTTTATGATTCTCTATCACATACAGAATAAAAATCAAACTCAACTGCATCGCATACATAAGACCTAAACAATACGGTTCCTAATTTGTAGGTTCACACCTCTAGTTCATGCAGAACTATTTGCAGTTCTCTGAATTCTGACCTCTGTTCTTGCACACACTGAATTTTCTTAACTTGTGCCTCTTACCGGTTCTTGGTGACAGATTCCTAATCATTCAAAATTTAATCCCAGCATTACTTTGAGGTGGCTTTTGGGTGGAATTTTTTACTCTTTATGTTGCATTAGTATTATTTATGATTATAAAGTATTTGCGCTATATACCAATCTCTTTCTCCTATCAAACTAGGAATTATTAAAGTTCAGATTTTTTTAATTTTTTTAAGGATTTATTTTATTTATTTGAAAGACAGAGTTACAGAGAGAGGTAGAGGCAGAAAAAGAGGTCTTCCATCCACTGATTCACTCCCCAAATGGCCACAACTGCTGGAGCTGGGCCAGTCCGAAGCCAGGAGCCTCCTCCAGGTCTCCCACATGGGTGCAGGGGCCCAAGGACTTGAGCCATCTTTCACTGCTTTCCCAGGCCATAGCAGAAGGCTGGATCGGAAGAGGAGCAGCTGGGACTCGAACTGGCATCCATATGGGATGTTGGCGCTTCAGGCCAGGGCTTTAACCCACTACGCCACAGGCCGGCCCCCTGAATTTTTTAATTTTTTATCACTAATATACTGAGAGGGGCCAGTGTTGTGATATATCAGATTATGCTGCCACTTGAGATGCCGACATCCCACTTGATAGTGCCAGTTCGACTCCCAGCTGTTCTAACGTAGCTTCCTGTTAGCATGCCTGGGAAGGCAGAGGAAGATGGCCCATATCTCTGGTTCCCTACCACCTACGTGACAGGGGCATTTCCTGTCTTCAGCCTGGCTAAGACTATTTGGGCAATTAGGTAGCTGGTGGAAAATTTCTCCCTGTCACTCTATCTCTGTCAGTCTGCCTTTCAAATAAATAAATGAATCTTTGTATTTAATCTACCTAATGCTGAACCTGATATTAAGAGGAATTCAAGGGGCCAACATTGCGGTGTAGCAGGTAAGGCTGCTGCCTGAAGTGCCAGCATCCCATATGAGCTCCAGGTTGAGTCCTGACTGCTCCACTTCCCGTCTAGATCTCTGCTGAGGCCTGGGAAAGCAGTAGAAGGTGGCCCAACTCCTTGAGCGCCTGCACCCACGTGGGAGACCTAGAAGAAGCTCCAGGCTCCTGGCTTCAGATTGGCCCAGCTCTGGCTGTTGCAGCCATTAGGGGAGTGAACCAGCAGATGGAAAACCTCTCTGTCTGTCTGTCTGTCTGTCTCTCTCTCTCTCTCTGCCTCTGTAACTCCACCTTTCAAATCAATAAATAAATCTTTAAAAAAAGAATTATTCAAATGTTTATTGAAACAAATGTGTTCATTTACTGAATTTACGTAGTAGAATTGATACCCTCACCTTTTTTTTTTTTTAAGACTTTTATTTATTTGAGAGGTAGAGTTACAGACAGACAGAGAAACAGAGAAAGAAGTCTTCCTTCTACTGGTTCACTCCCCAAATGGCTGCAATGGCCAGAGTTGGGCTGACCCGAAGCCAGGAGCTTCTTCCAGATCTCTCATATGAGTGCAGGGGCCCAAGCACTTGGGCCATCTTCTATTGCATTCCCAAGCCATAGCAGAGAGCTGGATCAGAAGAGGAGCAGCTGGGACTATAAATGGTGCACATATGGGACACTGGCACCACAGGTGGAGGCTTAACCTACACCACAGTGCTGGCCCCTCAAATTTTTCTTTATTTAGAAAAAAAAAATGCTAGGAATACCCACATCCCTTATTGGGGTGCTGACAAATATCTGAATGAAATATCTGTTTTACTAGTCTTCTTTTTTTTTTTTTTTTTTGACAGGCAGAGTGGACAGTGAGAGAGAGAGAAAGGTCTTCCTTTTGCCCTTGGTTCACCCTCCAATGGCTGCCACGGCCAGTGCGCTGCAGCCGGCACACCGCGCTGATCCAAAGGCAGGAGCCAGGTGCTTCTCCTGGTCTCCCATGGGGTGCAGGGCCCAAGCACTTGGGCCATCCTCCACTGCACTCCCGGGCCATAGCAGAGAGCTGGCCTGGAAGAGGGGCAGCCGGGACAGAATCTGGCGCCCCGACCGGGACTGGAACCCGGTGTGCTGGCGCCGCTAGGTGGAGGATTAGCCTATTGAGCCGTGGTGCCGGCCCAGTTTTACTAGTCTCCTAATAACGACCATGTCTAATTCAAATGTAAAAGTTTACATTTTTCTAAAATAAATATAAGTCAGTGTTTTATTTAGATACTTGATAGGTTTTTTTTAAGTTTTTATTTATTTATTTGAAAGGTAGAGTTACAGACAGTGAGAGGGAGAAAGAGAGAAAGGTCTTCTGTCCCTTGGTTTACTCCCCAATGGCCCCAATGGTAGAGCTGTGCCAATCCAAAGCCAGGAGCCAGGTGCTTCTTCCTGGTCTCCCACACGGGTGCAGGGGCCCAAGGACCTGGGCCATCTTCTGCTTTCCCAGGCCACAGCAGAGAGCTGGATGGGAAGAGGAGCAGTCGGGACTAGAACCGGCACCCATATGGGATGCTTGTGCTGCAGGCAGAGGATTAACCTACTGTGCCACAGCGCCCAGCCCCTTGATATTGTGGGGTTTTTTTGTTTGTTTGTTTGTTTGTTTTTGACAGAGTGGACAGTGAGAGAGAGAGAGAGACAGCGAGAAAGGTCTACCTTTGCCGTTGGTTCACCCTCCAATACCGCCACGGCCGGCGCACCGTGCTGATCCGAAGCCAGGAGCCAGGTGCTTCTCCTGGTCTCCCATGGGGTGCAGGGCCCAAGCACCTGGGCCATCCTCCACTGCACTCCCAGGCGACAGCAGAGAGCTGGCCTGGAAGAGGGGCAACCGGGACAGAATCCAGCGCCCCGACCGGGACTAGAACCCGGTGTGCCGGTGCCGCAGGCAGAGGATTAACCTATTGAGCCACGGCGCCGGCCCCTTGATAGTTCTTAATATCATCCTCTTAAATTTTATAATGACACATGCCTTTGAGAACTTTTTTTTTTAATATTTATTTATTTATTTATTTGAAAGGCAGAGTTACAGAGAGACAGAGCGAGAGAGAGAGAGATCTTCCATCCTCTGGTTCACTCCCTAATGGCCACAATGGCGAGAGCTGGGCCGATCCGAAACCAGGAGCCAGGAGCTTTTTCTGGGTCTCCTACATGGGTGCAGGGGCCCAAGCACATGGGCCACCTGCTGCTTTCCCAGGCCATAGCAGAGAGCTAGATTGGAAGAACAGCAACCAGGACTTGAGCTGGTGTCTATATGGGATGCTGGCTTTGTGGGCAGTGGCCTCACCCACTACACCCCAGCACTGACCCCAGGAATTTATTTTTTCTGATTTAGATTTTAAAAGCAATTTGCTCTTTTTATTTATTTGAAAGGCAGAGTTAGAGAGAAACAGAGTCAGAGGAAGAGACTTTCCATCAGCTCACTCACTCCCAATATGGTCCCAACAGCCAGGGCTGGACCAGGCTGAAGTCAGGAGCCTGGATCTCCATTCAGGTCTCCCACATGGCTGCGGGGCCCAGGGACTTGAGCCATCTTCTGCTACCTTCCCAGGTGCATTAGCAGGGAGCTGGATTGGAAGTAGAGCAGCTGGGACTCAAACCAGCACCCATATAGGAAGCCAGCATTGCTGGAGGTGGCTTTCGCCCACTGGCCCCTGTAATCATTCATTTATAACTTTCCTAAGGTCTATTTCTCAGGTACAGCCTTTCACTGAAATAATAATGTTTTTTGAACCATTATATGAATTGTACCTAGTATTTTGTTTTGGTTTGGTTTTTTGCCTAATTTTTTACAAAGACTTTATTTAGTGCCGCCTCCAGGCTTTTTCATTTGCAAATAAAAATATCTATCAGTAACTCTTTACATCTTTTTTAATAACCCTAGGAAGCAGACTGATCTATAACCCACTGCTTGAGCAGAATAATTTACTTCTGTATCACTAAATATAGACCAGTATAATTGTTAATGATTATATGCATTATATAATATGATACCTGTTACTTTGACCAGTAGTCTTTTACATATTTAGATTATTTTCCAATTTGTAGATTTGTTTGTCAAGATCGCTTTATATATTAGTTATTTCCTCAGCATAAACACCGGTAGGTTAAAGGATATGTATGCTTTAAGACTGGGTTCATTTGGCTCTGTACACATCAGGAAGGATGTGGATTTCCTCCCACAGCACTCTCCCAGCAAAATTCCTCTCCCACTTACCTTTAGAATTCTTTTCAATCTGTGTCATTCTGAATGTGGATAACTCATCTTCTTGGCATTTCTTTGATACTAGTGAAACTGAACATTTATTTTAAGTTCTCTGTGTTATAAACTGTGGTGATATTCAACTTTTTTAGCACTTTAAATATTAGTTTTAACATTATTTATTTAGCATATTTATATCCTTACTAAACTTCCTAAGGAAAGGAACAATATCTGTTTTATATAGCTTTACCTCCGCTGTGTATCTTATAGTAACTATTTGATAAGGATCTGTTGAATTAATTTCACACTTTTATGCATTTGGAATGTATTCTATAACAGAACAAAGCCCTCCCACCCCATATTTTACAGGTTGTTTGTTTTTTTTTGTTTTTTTTTTTTTTTTTGACAGGCAGAGTGGACAGTGAGAGAGAGAGACAGAGAGAGAGAAAGGTCTTCCTTTGCCGCTGGTTCACCCTCCAATGGCCGCCGCTGCAGCCGGCGCACCGCGCTGATCCTGGCAGGAGCCAGGAGCCAGGCGCTTTTCCTGGTCTCCCATGGGGTGCAGGGCCCAAGCACCTGGGCCATCCTCCACTGCACTCCCTGGCCATAGCAGAGAGCTGGCCTGGAAGAGGGGCAACCGGGACAGAATCCGGCGCCCCGACCGGGACTAGAACCCGGTGTGCCGGCGCCGCAAGGTGGAGGATTAGCCTATTGAGCCACGGCGCCGGCCATATTTTACTTTTTAAAAACCACTCCGACTATTCTCATACTCTCTTACAGCTAGGCTGTACTGTCATTTTGTGAAGCACTGATCCCATTGGAATTGGGGGCTTTAGAAATTTGAAACAATTAACTTCTCAAAATATTTAGTCTTCCCACTGAAGAATATGGTGTATCTCTCCATTTATTCATGCCATGTTTAAACTTCCTTAGTTTTTCCATATAGATATAATGTCTGGTTTTTTTGGTTTTTTTTTTTTTGATAAGTTCATTTCTATTTTGTGTATTGATCTTTGCAGCTAGCGTTGTTTTGGAAGGCTACAATTTAAATCTTTTTTGTTTTTCTCTTTTAAGCTTTTGTCAGGAGTGATAAACCCAAACTATTCAGAGGACTACAAATCAAGGTAAGATTATTATAATGGAATGTCTTCATTTTTCTGTTATTAATTTATTTGGTTTTGAATTAAATATTTGAATAAATAATTGCTTGTAATAATATATTTCATTTTGTAGGAGAGTTTTAGGTTTACAAAAGAATTGAGTAGAAAGCACAGTGTTTCTAAGTGCTAAGGCACACACCCTGGCCCTCATTCTCCTCTTGAATTTATAATAGTACATTTGTAACAACTGATGAACCAATATTGAGACATCATTGTTAAATAAAATCTGTAAGTTGCATTAGGGTTTATCCCTTGGTCATGGATTGTTCCCAAATGTGTAGTATCATATATCCGTGGAGTCCTCTTCTCCTCATCCATCCTCTTGCTAATGCATTCTGGGAGGTGGCAGGTGATGCCCCGAATGCTCGGGGCCTTGGCTCTTTCTTGCCTCTCCCTTTTCCCTCCCCTTCTCCCTCTTCTCCCTTTCCCTCTCTGTCTCTCTGCCTTCCAAGTATATGAAAGTAAAAAAACATTTTTAATTGCTCCTAAATGGGAATACTTCAAAAAGTTCATGGAAAATAAAAAGAGCAGTTTGTTTAATGCAAAATATGTTTTAAATCACGCATAGTGTTGTTGGTTGGTTTTTTTTTTTGTTTTTGGACAGGCAGAGTTAGACAGTGAGAGAGAGACAGAGAGAAAGGTCCTCCTTCCATTGGTTCACTCCCCCAATGGTTGCCAGGAGCCAGGTGCTTCCTCCTGGTCTCCCATGCCGGTGCAGGGACCCAAGCATTTGGGCCATCCTCCACTGCCCCCCTGGGCCACAGCAGAGAGCAGGACTGGAAAGGAACAACCGGGACAGAATCTGGCACTCCAACTGGGACCAGGATGCCGGCACCGGAGGTGAAGGATTAGCCAAGTGAGCCACGGCGCCAGCCCATGCGTAGTTTTTTCATAGTATGTATTTTCCATAAACTTATTGAACACCCTGTACCATCATTCTCTCTCATTGAGTCTGTCTGCCTCCTCTGATAGATTATAAGCTCATTTGCATTTGAGACTATCATATATACAATAAATATCTGTTATGTTCAATAATAAGCTTAAATCCTAACAAATTACCTTAATAAGTGGCTATTTTTCTCTTCGGAAGTAAAATTAATTTTTATTCTCATTTTTTATGGAATCTCATTTTATTCTTACCTAAAAAGCTTCCTTTAAAGAAAAAAAGATTTTTGTATTTGAAAGGCAGAGTTACAGAGAGGTGGAGAGAGACTTTCCTTCCTCTGGTTCACTTCCCAAATGGCCACAGCAGCTGGAGTTGGGTCAATCAGGAGCCAGGACCTTCTTTTGGGTCTCCCATATGGGTGCAGGGGCCCACAGACTTGAACCATCCTCTGCTGCTTTCCCAGGCCATTAGCAGGGAGCTGGATCAGAAGAGGAGCAGTGGGGACTCCAACCAGTACCCATATGGAATGCCTGCACTGCAGGCAGTGGGTTAAGGCCCTGGCCTGAAGTGCCAGCATCCCATATGGGCGCCAGTTCTAGTGCCGGCTGCTCCTCTTCCGATCCAACTCTCTGCTATGGCCTGGGATAGCAGTAGAAGATGGCCCAAGTCCTTGGGCCCCTGCACCCGCATGGGAAACCAGGAGGAAGCTCCTGGCTCCTGGCTTCGGATCGGCGCAGTTCCGGTCCTTGCGGTCTATTAAGGAGTCAACCAGCAGATAGAAGATATCTCTCTCTCTCTCTCTCTCTCTCTCTCACTCTCTCTCTGCCTCTCCTTCTCTCTCTGTAACTCTTACTTTCAAATAAATAAATAAATCTTTAAAAAAAAGACTGATTGTGATGTTATATCTAAAAGCTTTTTTAAAAAATTACTATCATACATAACTAAACTGCTTTGATCTTGGTTGAAGATGGGAGGGCTCTCTCTAAGAAGAATATGGTGATGATGTTCCTCTTTTTTGATAGTATGTCCGCGGGTCAGACCCTGTGCTAAAGCTTCTGGATGACAATGGGAACATTGCTGAAGAACTCAGCATCCTCAAGTGGAACACAGACAGTGTCGAAGAATTCCTGAGTGAAAAGTTGGAGCGCCTCTAAATCTTGCTTAAGTTTTATCCTATCTTGTGTTAACCTTATCAAATGAAATTCTCCAGTACCCGGATAATAAGCCATGCCTGCCTACATAGATCAGTCCTTTAGTGTGAGGCATTAAACATCTCATTCAAAGCTGAACGGCAGCTCAGCCTTGCTGCCCATGATATCTGTGGAGTTGGCGAGCTTGACAAAACACATTTTTTACAAATTTCTGTCCTCCTGCATTTGTTGATACCACTAATGAAATGCTTTGTAACAGACTTGTGGTTAATTATGCTAATGAGAGTTTGTGATAATTGGTCCAGTTTTGTGAACAACAGAATTTTAAATTGGGGAGATTATTAAGGAAGATGATTACTGTGCCTCATGTGCTGTGTGTTCTTTTGAAAGTAATGACAGAAAACCACAAAGCAAATAAGATATACCAAGCCTCAACAGATTGCCTGCTTCTCAGAGCCTCTCATATTTTTGTATTACCCAGCTTTCCTTTTCACAGAAATGTTATTTGTAGTGTCTGATGAATGTGTTGCATAAAAACATTGTAGCTTCATTATTATGAAAGAGATTCAAGTTCCTAGTGTAAGAGTGAAACACTCACAGAAATTTGCATCAGTGAAGACCACACAGAAAACCTTTCTGAGGATTTGTGTGGATCTGATATTTGGCAAATTTTTGTTTTACATCTCTTACAGAAAAGTTGATTTTAAAATGATTGTTTGTAAGACCAAAAATATAAATAAAATCTTTGAAAAATTATCTGAATTTGAAATTCTTCTGGTTTGTGCTTTCATGTTTGCAGATATCTGAAATTCCTAAACACAATCCATCAGATTTGCAAAGTATTTATTTCTAATAGAGATTGGTTATTTATCTTTACCAGCAGTTTGTATCACGTAATATTTAAAATCAATAATTCTACTTTTAAAGCCAGCAAGAGAATGAATATATAAGTAAATTTGGATAATCAAAATGAATTAAGAAATCCTGGCAAATAGACCATGGTCTCTGTTTGATTATCCAGAGCAATGGATAGGACCATCACTTGGATAGTACCAGGCCTGATTAATATGTCACTTATCCCTGATGATTATTACAAGTAAAGAACAAGAGGGAGATTAAGCCAATTGTGGACAGTGAGGAAAAAATTAAAAAAAAAAAAAAAAAAAGGCAGGACGAGAGGACTTGCCACCACATACAGAAGAGTAGTGGGACTGAGGGATGAAACTTCAAAACTGAGATTGGCATAGAAAATTAATTGGATTGGTTTCTGGGCAGGAAGAGCCAGTTAAATGAGTATCTGGCATTGGGATAAAAAAAAAAAAAACTGAAAAGAGGACTAAAAGGTCTGTTGTATTCAAGTTATTGTGAGAGATCAAAGACACTGAAGAACCCTGTAGTGTCAGAGCTTCAAGTAGTCAACTTGATGAATGAAAGGGTTCCCACCAAGCCCTACTATTTTAATTGGGGCATTCAAATTAATCAGCCACTTCCAACTTTTTTTGCCAATTGCAAAGAACAGCTTTTTAAGGAGACAAAACTGATCACCAAGAAAAGGGTATAAAATACTTATCTAAAAGGTATGATTTTATAGCTAAATTCTGACTTTTGATTAAACTTACACAAATTCACAAACATGGACATGTAGTCGTCATTTGATATTTATGACTTTGCTCCTTCTGCCAAAATTACAGTCCTTCAACCTAGAATGGTTATCTCCAAACTTCTGAATTTGGCAAGAACCTATTACAAGGAGATATGAACAGGAATGGACACCTGTAAGGGGTCAGCTGGAGCAGCTCAGCAAGCTGGCAAATGCACCTCCAAGATGGATCACACCAAGTTGGCAGACTGCAAGTGGCTGGCAGTCTCTTCGCATTATTGGGCCTCCTTACCGTATGGTGACTGGGTTCCGAAAGTTTCCTAAAAGACATGAAATGGAAACTGTCCCTTTTTTTTTTTTAAAGACATAGTGAAACTCTTCAAGTTTATCTTCCCCTATTGGTGACTTTAAAAACTATACTGCTTAATGTTAGTCATTAGGGGAAGGCAGATCTTAATGCGGAAAAAAGTATCCCCCTCAACACTGAATGCTATTTCTAAAGGTAACCTTCAGGCACTGGAGAACAAGGCAGAGTTCACAGAACAAAGCAAGTTTCCTATACTTGGAATAATAAAAATGAAAAGACTCCAGTAAAATTTCAAAGACTACTCTGAAATCCAAGTCATTCTTTAAATAACACTTTAAAAAAAGTGTTACTTTGAAAGACAAAGTTACAGAGAGAGAGAGATCTTCCATCCACTGGTTCACTCCCCAGATGGCCAAAGCAGCTGGAGCTAGGCCGATCTGAAGCCAGAAGCTTGGAGCTTCTTCCAGGTCTCCCACGTGGGCACAGGGGCCCAAGGACTTGGGCCATCTTGTGCTGCTTTCCCAGGCATATTACCAGGGAGCTGGATCAGAAGTGGAGCAGCTGGGACTAGAATCGGCACCCATATGAGATGCCAGCACCACAGGTGGCAACTTTACCTGCTATACCACAGCTCTAAGCCCAACACTTATTTTCTAAAAAAAAAAAAAAATTAGATAAATAAAATTATATTTGAATATAATATAACATAGAGACATATAGATAGGACTTCTATCTGCCAGTCCACCTCCTGAATGCCCTCAGTATTCCAGGGCTGGGCAGGGGCCAAAGCTGTGATCTGGCAGGTGCTTTGGCAAGAGACCTGGGAATCCTAATCTCCAGGCTAAATAGAACCTTGCCACAGGAAAAACCTCTTATTTGAAGAAAGCACCTCAAAGGACCGTGATATAGTTCTGATGTACCTGCTGCCCAAGGGCACACAGCAAGCCACTCTTCCAGCGATCACATTCACTTTTTTTTTTTTTTTTTTTTTGACAGGCAGAGTGGACAGTGAGAGAGGGAGACAGAGAGAAAGGTCTTCCTTTGCCGTTGGTTCACCCTGATCCGATGGCAGGAGCCAGGTACTTCTCCTGGTCTCCCATGGGGTGCAGGGCCCAAGTACTTGGGCCATCCTCCACTGCACTCCCTGGCCACAGCAGAGAGCTGGCCTGGAAGAGGGGCAACCGGGACAGAATCCGGCGCCCCGACCGGGACTAGAACCCGGTGTGCCGGCGCCGCTAGGTGGAGGATTAGCCTAGTGAGCCGCGGCGCCGGCCCACATTCACTTCTAGGCTTTAGAATTTCCCAGCCCTGCCCCTCCAAGTGCCTCCTCCAACACCATCTATGGTATGGAAATAGCAAGTGAAACAAAGGAACACAACCTCAATGCTGAATTAAGAAGCAAACTGAATTGAGTAGCTCCTTTAATATATATGTATTCAGTTGTACACTTAACCGTGAGCATTCAGTGGCCCCTGAAAAAAGGCCCCTTTCCCTGTACCAAGAAGTGTCAACACTGAGACTGTCCTTACACTGGCTGACCACCAAGCCCAGGAGTACTATGGAATATGCACTGGAGGGAAGCCTCCAGAAGTTCAGTCCAGTTTTGCTTTCGCTGGAGAGTGAACGGGTCCAGAGAGGCTGATTGATGAGGCCACTGGTCTCACTGGTCTGCTGTTCCTTTCTTGAGATTTACGTGATGAAAAAAAAAATTGTCATCCTTTCACTTGCATTCACAGGATGGAAATTTCCTCCTCCAGAGTCACTTGTTGTCTCCCACAAGAAGTTTGTGTCCCTACAACCTCCTGGGCCAGCTGGTAGAGTTTACGGGACTCAGTGTGAAGTATTATGATATCCATTATAGCCGCAAACGGCCAGGGGTAGTGAAGGGCGGGCTGCAGCTCGGTTTCCATTGACATCAATAGGTTATCCCATTGTTACTCATGATTCCAAGATGTTTTCCTCAAAGTCCCAAATCTTCCGTGACAATCATCCGGAGTCTTGATCTCAGAACCCAGAAGTTTGGCCTAACAGAAGTTCTGAGGCCAATCTTGTTCCAGCTGACAGTCTTCTTCCAGGGATACAGACTTAAATAAATACAGGTGTTGGCACAGTTAGGACAAAAGCAGCAGCTTGTCTCCAGATCAGGGGAGAAATGGCCTTCACCTTTTCTGTTTGCTGGCTGAATTCCATGGTCAAGAGAGGCTGGTAGGCCATGAGGAAGCAAGGAAGACCAGAAAGCCCTTTTCTAGGGTCTGCAGGTTCAGTCAAGCACTTAATATCACCACGGCTGGGAAATTTATCTCCAGTTAGGGGGAAAAAAATATCACTTCCCTTTAAAAATGATGGCCCTGGGACGAGAGAGACAGAGAGTAGATTGAACAAGGCCACAAACCAAATAGGCAGAGCAGGGGTAGAGTATGATACAGGAGATGATACAAGAGGTCACTGCATCACCCAGAACCTGTGCACATGGCAAGGACCCGAAGTCACCAGGAGGAAATAGTCTGGACAAGGGAGACTTGAGTCCCTGAGTGCTTCTGACACCTACACTGATTCTCCAACCACTGGGATCTTCGGGGGGAGGTCTGGGCCCTTTGGGCATCTCATTGTAGATAAGAGAAAGGAAAGCTGGACCTATATCCTAGTCTCCTATGGGCCAAACATTCTCCTGTCCCACCGTCTGGTCTCACCCACCTCCCTGCTTCAGCCTCATGGCCACTCACCAAGAAGGCTTCCTCACAGTGCTTGGCCATGCTCTTGAGATGGCAAGAAGCAGAGAAGGGAACTGCAGCTGGTGATAGAGAAGCAGAGGCAGCAGCAGACCTGCCGTCCCCAGGGCAGGGTGGCAAGCAGGTGGCCTCCAACCTGGGAGAGAAGCTCCCAGAGCATCGAAGCTGCCAGTTGCTTACTGCCTGGGCCCAGAAGTGGCATAATGTCACTTCTGCCATTTTTTATGTGGAAAGAAATCAAAAAATCCAGATTCAGAGGAAGGACATGTAGACTTAGGGGAGTGATGTTAGAAGAATTTTGGAGCCATGTTTTTATACTGCCCTACTTACTCACATACCCACCGATGCATTTAAGTGGATTTTTTTTTCAAGTATGTTTATCTTTGAATTTTTCTCCAGACTTGCATTTAGAGCTATTTGAGAAATTTTGGATTGCTATATGTAGCTCCAGATCTTTCCATTGGTCATAAAGTTCAGTGATGTACACAGGAACAACTTGCCTCCCAAATTTTGAATTAGGGCAAAGCGACTTCATTACTTTTATATTGCTAACGTCATTTCCTTTTTTATTTTTAAGACTTATTTATTTGAAAGTCAGAGTTACACAGAGAGAGAAGGAGAGGCAGAGAGAGAGGTCTTCCATCCGCTGGTTCACTTCCCAAATGGCCACAACAGCTGGTGCTGGGCCAATCCGAAGCCAGGATCCAGGAGCTTCTTCTGGGTCTCCCACACAGGTGCAGGGGCCCAAGCACTTGGGCATCTTCCACTGCCTTCCCAGGCCATAGCAGAGAGCTGGATTGGAAGTGGAACAACTGGGACTCGAACTGGCTCCCATAATGGGATGCTGGCACTGCAGGCTTTACCTACTAAGCCACAGTGCCGGCCCCTCTAAGGTCATTTTCAGTGCAATGTGAATGTTTGGAAATTAACATCACACAAGACCTTCTCAATCTTAAAGTACAGCTGGTGTAAATACCTGTCAGGTCTCCCTGCACAAGTTAATAATTCTGTATACTTGGTCACGACTTCTCTGTAATTGGTTTAAGTGAAAATCATATTCATGAGTACAATGCTTTGTTTTAAATAGTTCAGCATTCCAACTTGGCTGATTATGGTCTCCAGCTGC